CACAGTGATGCTGGGGACACAGTGTTGGGACACAGTGATGCTGGGACACTGTTGCTGGGGACACAGTGATGCTGGGGACACAGTATTGATGGGGACACAGTGATGCTGGGGACACAGTGTTGCTGGGGACACTGTTGCTGGGGACACAGTGATGCTGGGGACACAGTGTTGATGGGGACACAGTGATGCTGGGGACACAGTGATGATGGGGACACAGTGTTGCTGGGGACCTGGGCACAGTGATGCTGGGGACACAGTGTTGATAGGGACACAGTGTTGATGGGGACACAGTATTGATGGGGGATGGGGACACAGTGATGCTGGGGACACTGTTGCTGGGGACACAGTGATGCTGGGGACACAGTGTTGATAGGGACACAGTGTTGATGGGGACACAGTATTGATGGGGACACTGTTGCTGGGGACACTGTTGCTGGGGACACAGTGATGCTGGGGACACAGTGTTGATAGGGACACAGTGTTGATGGGGACACAGTATTGATGGGGACACAGTGATGCTAGGGACACAGTGATTGATGGGGACACAGTGATGCTGGGGACAGTGACACTGTTGCACTGTTGCTGGGGACACAGTGTTGCTGGGGACACAGTGATGCTGGGGACACTGTTGCTGGGGACACTGTTGCTGGGGACACAGTGATGCTGGGGACACAGTGTTGATGGGACAGTGTTGATGGGGACACAGTATTGATGGGGACACAGTGATGCTGGGGACACAGTATTGATGGGGGACACAGTGATGGGGGACACAGTGGGGACACAGTGATGCTAGGGACACTGTTGCTGGGGACACAGTGATGCTGGGGACACAGTGTTGATAGGGACACAGTGTTGCTGGGGACACAGTGTTGCTGGGGCATGTGTTGCTGGGGACACAGTGTTGATGGGGACACTGGGGACACAGTGTTACTGGGGACACAGTGTTGCTGGGGTGACACAGTGTTGCTGGGGACATGGTGTGCTGGGGACACAGTGTTGCTGGGGACTGTTGCTGGGGACACAGTGCTGGGGCATGGTGTTGCTGGGGACACAGTGTTGCTGGGGACACAGTGTTGCTGTGGACACAGTCCTGCTGGGGACACAGTCCTGCTGGGACACAGTGTTGCTGGGTGCATAGTGTTGCTGGGGACTCAGTGTTGCTGGGACACAGTGTTGCTGGGGACACAATCCTGCTGGGGGCTCATTGTTGCTGGGAAGACAGTGTTGCTGGGAAGACAGTGTTGCTGGGGACACAGTGTTGCTGGGGACACAGTGTTGCTGGGGACACAGTCCTGCTGGGACACAGTGTTGATGGGGACACAGTTTTGCTGGGGACACAGTGTTGATGGGGACACTGTCCTGCTGGGGACTCAGTGTTGCTGGGGACACAGTCCTGCTGGGGACACTATTGATGGGGACACAGTCCTGCTGGGGACTCAGTGTTGCTGGGGACAGTCAGGACACAGTGTTGATGGGGACACAGTCCTGCTGGGGACTCAGTGTTGCTGGGGACACAGTGATGCTGGGGACACAGTGTTGCCACAGTCCTGCTGGGACACAGTGTTGATGGGGACACAGTGATGCTGGGGACACAGTGTTGCTGGGGACACAGTCCTGCTGGGGACACAGTGTTGCTGGGGACACAGTCCTGCTGGGACACAGTGTTGATGGGGACACAGTTTGCTGGGGACACTATTGATGGGGACACAGTGTTGATGGGGACACAGTCCTGCTGGGGACTCAGTGTTGCTGGGGACACAGTGATGCTGGGACACAGTGTTGCTGGGGACACAGTCCTGCTGGGGACACAGTGTTGCTGGGGACAGTGGTGCTGGGGACTCAGTGTTGCTGGGGACACAGTGATGCTGGGGACACAGTGTTGCTGGGGACACAGTCCTGCTGGGGACACAGTGTTGATGGGGACACAGTTTTGCTGGGGACACTATTGATGGGGACACAGTGTTGATGGGGACACAGTCCTGCTGGGGACTCACTGTTGCTGGGGACACAGTGATGCTGGGGACACGGTGTTGCTGGGGAAAATAAGACTTAGATCATTATAAAAATGTATTGATTGGAAGAGCAGCCAACTAAGGGTGTGACCCAACATGGCGGCACCCGCAGTGCCCTCCCTGCCTCTCACCTGACCCTCCCTTAATTCTACCTGGCTTCCCTCCTTCCCTTTCTCCACCAACTACACCCTATACGTTCTTCTCTCCATCCACCAGCTGCACCTTCCCTCTTTCCTTCCCTCCACCAGCCACACCCTCCGTCCTTCCTTCCCTCCACCAGCCACACCCTCCCTCCTTCCTTCCCTCCACTAGCCACACCCTCTATCGTGTCTTACGAAAACTGCCCCGCCGGCCAACGCATCTTGCGAAGTGCGTTACATCAGTGCTTGACAAAAAAACATCACCTGTGGTGAGGCGCTGCAGGGTGTCCCAGAGTCTGTGGGGCCAGCTGGGGCCGCTCACATATACCATTATTTTGAATTGTCGGT